GTGCAGAACGTCGTCGGCCGTTGGCCTTAGGAGAGCTCCGGTTGGTCGTCGGGCTGGAGTAAGAACAAAAGCGTGAAATTGCGGTCTGGATTTTATTACTCCGCGGCTCGATATCATTAACTCCTGAAGTGTGGCGAAAGTAAATACACGGAGGAAAATCACTACTTCACGAGCCGCATTTGCTAAGCGCTCGGCCATCGTCCGAAATAACCGCCGCGTCGTGAGTACTCCATTTATCATCCGTCGAAAGTTCACATTCGTGGATTTCAAAAGCGAAGGGGAGGCCGGAATGGCGCTTTTGCGTGCCGCTGTGTTTCGCGAAATGACGAATTCTACGAAAGTCACTTCGAATCGCGAAATCATTGGGGGCAAAAATACACTAATTGGACTACATTTTGCAATTAGGAACTACAATTTCTGGTTTAAGAACAAAATGTCTACTATTAGCTTCCCATGCACATTAGTGTTTTTACGGTTAGACCAGGACGTTTGGTGCATAATTTCAAAATAAACTCCAATTATTGCAAGTTGTGGCCGTATGACACGGAAAAAAACGACACGAAGGCTAGGTCCTGGAAAGGCATCGCTCAAATTTTAGGTAGGTAACGCAATTTATGGAAAACTTCCTTGATTTTTCTAATCGGTTGGCAGAACATTCTGAATTTTGAAGCTTTAAAAATACCTTGGTTTTCATCGAAAAAATAAGATAGTACCGGTAATTTTGAAACACAGCGAAGGAGATGCGCTGTTCCGCCATCGACCTGTTTGGATTGAACGTGCAATGTGCCGCGACGTTCAACTACGGCTTGCGTACTACTTCGTCCTGATAAGTTGCATCGAGATGCTGTAAACGTGACAATATTAATGTCTCTCGTAAAATTACATAACTCTCCGATGTTACGGGATAAAACTGGAGCACTCTTCTCCGGCGATAATCTTCAATATGAATGAGAGGGTTGAACTCGATTACGGTCATATACTTCACCTTACATTAAAATTGATAACGATCTGATGAAATCATGACACATAACCGTGTCGCCGTAATGTAGATAATGGGCCTCTGAATCCAGGCATGGTATAAACTAGAAATAAACGTCACACTTGTTTTCTCTTCAAAATTTCTCACTCCTCTGACGTAAGGGCGTATCTCTACTTTTGGATGAACCCTATTATCCATAAAGCTCCTTGCTTTCGAGGGCTCAAGCGAAAATCGAAATAACCCCTTGCGTCAGAGGAGCGACGAATTGTGCACAGAAAATGATTCGCACGACGGGAAGTTTGAAAATCAACTTCTGGAGTGACAAGTATTTTTAACATGGATCAAATGGACTGCATTTTGCAATTTGGAACTCTGAATTCTAGCCCGGTTTAAAAACAACGTATGTGCCATTAGTTGCCCTATGCACATACGTGTTTTTTCAGATGAGCCAGAATTTGTAGGTCCAAATTGCAAAACGCAATCCAAATGAAAGTTTGATTTCACAAACCTCATTTGTATTTTTGTCATCGAACCAATGTCAATGGACCATTAGACAAGGTATGAGGTCAAGCATTCTGATACGTGTTTTCTGACCAGAATTTCACGCGAAACACGATTTGCGCGACAAAATTACGGTAATTAACTCCTAACTAAGATATGTAATGTTTCTTGACGCGTGGATTCAAACCTCCCGCTCATGAAAACACACTTGTCAACGTGTATCAAATGGCACACTAAACTTTACAATGTCAATCTCTGCGATTTGAAAATCTATGGCAATCTCAATCTTGACGCTTTGGCTCAGCTATACCGTTTTCATGTAAACAATTAAAATGCCTGATTAAAGTTGGAAATAGCTGATGTGGATTGGCTCCTTTCTACTTAACACGGTCCAATTATGAGCACAGATTTCAACATTGTCTGGACAGAACGACAAAATTGACTCAAAAAACATTGAAAAACCGTCCATCAACTCGTTTCAAGTTGACCCGATCGGAAACGAAATACACGCTCCGCGAGTGTCGGTTTGAATAACTGACAACGCCGAACCCTAGCGCGACCATGTCATCTCGTCTAACAGTAAACGCAGCATGAATAATAAAAGGCCACTGATTTTACCCGAAAAAACATTTCTGCCCGAAACTATCCAATCTAAAAAGTCAGGGGAGAAAAAAATCTCCTCACTTTAATTTATTTCAATGCCTCCTCGGAATATTAATCGAACATTTTAACTAGCATTGGGCATCAAATAAATTGATTTACATTCTGACAGGGTGTTAGAATCCGTTTCGTTGAGCCTGGGATTTCTTGCGATGCAGTGGCGTAGCGTGAATTCGATGTATCGAATGTCATGCCCTTTAAACCTACGGTGAAGAATCGATTATTAAGGTGTTCGCTGCGAACACCCTGTTTATCGATCCATTCCCATAGGTTTAAATGGTATAACAATCGGTATATCGCAAAGCACGCCACGCCACTGGTGCGATGTGTGTAGATGCTCGGCGACTCATTCCCTTGATAAAGCTCTTAATTTATTTTTTAGGTCCCCACTTGCTCCGACGCTCCCGCGAGATCGACAAGCGAAGCAGACGAATCGACACATTAGTGAGGACCCGTGGTCCATTTTTACTGGACAGCTCTAAAGTTGAGCCAAGTTGCCAGACCTCCACTTAATGCATAATTAGATTAGTCGTTTGTGATTGCCGTTATCAAAAATTGAACGAGGAGGATGAGACATGTTTTTTAAAAAAAATGGGGCCCTCGAAACAATAAAACAGACGCTTACTCCTATGGACTATTTGATTCAAGATAAGACTGGCTAGTATGACAATAACTGTTTTATACATTTTTAACCAGGGTATGGATAAAATATTAGACCTGTGCAGTTTTATGAGAATATATCAATGGCTAAATTTGGAGAGTGCTTATCTCCGATTTAAACGTTGTAAATTTTCGCTTAAGTTTTACTTTTTCCAGAAAAAACTCGCCGACTGTTTCTCCTCAAATTTTCTGTGAATTTCTCTTACATATTTAAACATATATATATGCACAGAAAATTCCAAAGAGATATTTTGGTTGGGTTTCTCTTGAAAAAGTAGAGTGTAGTGTAAGGTTTTAAACAATAGGACGCATCTAAATCAAACGGAACTATATCAATTCTAACACGAGCCCTGAGCTCCATAAGAATACTTACATGACAGGGCTCATGTCACATTGGATGTACTTCCTTTTTGTTTAGGTATGTCCAATTGTGATGCAGGTACGCATTTTCTTACTTTAGCCATCGGTGCGTTATGAGTATCGGCAACAATGTGGGCAACTTCGGTGGCTCATTTCCATTTTTCAATCTGACAAATCTATCAATGGGATACGAAAAAATTTGGGAATAAATGAATGAGTGGATAAAAAATCAAACGAGGGCCCGTTTGGGACGTGTTGATCATAAAACGAAAACGAGTTGGTGGATGATTCCTACTTGATCCCCTCGACCACCAATAGTGGATGCATTGGGATGACTACATCAGAAATGACGTAATTCACCGGATCCTCGATGTTCCCTCGGTGGTTGAAACTATAAAAAAATTGTCTTTGCGGTACGCCCAAAGATTGTCTATGCACCCTAATAATGAAGCTGTCCCCAAAAGACAGTCGTTATATCACCTTGTTTTTACTATCATCTAGTCACTTTCATAGAATTTTTTAGTAAAAGACTTTTGTAATTCCCCAAATAATTCCATCATTTGGCACACTCCGAATACGCTCTAACACCGAGCGCTTCTTATCTCATTGTCTTTTATTGCTATTGATTGTGTCTGACGACTGTCGCTCGTGCTAATTACCTATTTCTTTATTTCTCTTGTTGTTTTCAGCGGGGTAGGGGGGCATAATAATTAAGATCCAAACATATTGTAAATATCTATATTTAATCAACTTTTTACACATATATCAATACTTATACTAATCCTTATGTACAGTCCCTGTACATAATGTAATTTAGTTAGGACTGGTACTCCAGCCCACCCATTATTATAAAGTAGTTTTAGTTCCTAGTTATAAGAAATATAGTTAATACTTTGTAGTCCTATATATATTGAATAAAGAAAAAAAAAAAAAAAAAAAAACCAATAGTGGCTTGGCTTAACACGCTGTACTGCCACTACATGCTTCACTATCTCCACGCATCTTGAATGAAGACGTTTCCTTTCCCAAAAAACAATGTTTACGCTGCCTTAAGTGTTTTTCAAGCACTTTATGCCGGTTCATCCGTGAGGTGGGATGAAATATAAATGGCTTTGTTTAGGTGCGGCTTGGTGGTGAACTGGGAAAAAACGTGTCTCGATTGCTGCAGTTTACAGTTTCCGCTCATGTTTTATTTTCTTCAGAGACTATAACCTAATACTTATGCGTGAATTTTACAGTATTTCCCGAAAATCACGGAGAGTGACCTTCCGAAGAAGGATATTCTGGGCTACGGAGGGAAAATTATTGACTTCAGCTAAACTACAGCGTTCTAAGAGTTTTCGCTGAAATTTTATTCCCTCGAGAAGACATTAACTTACGTATTTGCGTACATTTTTCAGAAGTTCTTAAAAGTCACGAAGGATATGAAATTTGGATGCCAAATTTCTGAAGTATGGATTGAAAATTATTGGTTTCGTCTAGATCGCAGCTTGAGTTCGCGCTCATAATTTATGGCTATTACGAAAAATTTTCGGACCTTCCTGAAAATCAGGAAGAATGACCTTTCGAGGGAGGATTTTGGGCTGTGGAGTGAAACTTATTCGCTTTGTCTCGATTGTGGCGTCTTAGAGTATTAGAGAGTTTTAGTGAGGATTATTTAATAGATTCGACTAATTTTTCCAGAATTTCCTGAAAAACTTAATGAAAAAATTGGGTCACGGAGGGGGTGATTCAGACCTCCTGAAACCCCCTCCTCTCTCTTCGTCATTGCTATACCTCAGTATACTACGGTTAAAACATTTTGACGGTTAAAAACTTAGGAATGATAAAAAAAACTCACCTGCTCTAAACGATATCCTCCGTCTTCGAGGCAATAAGGGATGAAAATCCAATTTTGAGCACCGGATGACTACTAAGGGTTAACACTTGGTACCGTTAAAAAACCGCAGAGACTTATTCCAAGTAATCATAGTATTTAGTTCTTTAAAACGATGCGAGAAAAACTATCTAACTTCCGCGTCCTAACTTTAGAAACAAATATTTCGCTGCGTGAACTTGTGCTCAATTGTACTCGACCGGCGAACTGCATTATTTTCCGACTTTAACGATGCGGTCGGATTGTTTCCATCGATGGAGCGCTTCGTTTCATTTCGTCAGGTGTATTTTTTTACTATTGATTACTATTCATGCTTCCTTGGGTTAGGGGCCATTACCATGCGGCTCAGGCAGGGCGGTGCCCGGATGTTGCCGTAAGGCCCACGGGAGTCACTGCACTATCCGAGACCCGGTCTCCACTCCGGGGCTCGACACCGTGCACACCGGTCCGCCACGAGTGAAAATTATAACCGGGTGCTCACGTGTCCATGACCCCGATAATTTCCAATTATTCCGTCTTTTTCCTATCCTCTCCCGTTTTCAACGACCGATTTTCAGAACCCCCGGATCCTCGAACAGGAAACACATCCGCACTGAAACAAAAAAACAAAGAGGCAAATTAGTTCATTGAATAAAGAAAGTAAATAGGGAGTGTTTCATGATGAGTGCAATCCAAGAACTTGCTCCCGTTAGCCCAGGAGTGAGGTTGTCGACCCTGTTCCTCGTTGCCAATTAATTAAACAAACATACGAGCTGATTAAACGATTGAATTTAAAAACGGACTGAAAAATTGCACTGGAAAAAAACACATTGGATGTAGAGTGCAGACACTTAAAAACATCGGCAAGAAAAAGGACTCTTGATTCAATCAGATTTAAGCTTAAATCAAGAACCAAGCCTCTTAATTTAAGCGGATTTCCTTTTGATTTGAACTTAAATCTGATTGAATCAAGAGTCCTTTTTCCTGTCAATGTTTTCAAGAGTCTGGCCTCTAGATCCAATGTGTTTTTTTTCCAGTGTGGGATATGATAAAAAAAAGTGAACGATTTGAAGAATTAAAATTGGGAAAAACTACGTCACTGCCACCACAAGGTGACAAATTTCTTTGCATTAAAAATTCCCTTGTTTTTCCCTTACTGTTCGGGGATTTTGAAAATAAAATTCCCTGACTTCTCGATGTAATTTTTAGGCATGATTTCTCGGGAAAATTTCTTTTCGAGAAAAATCTTAAGCGTGAAATCTCTTGAAACTGAAAAAAAAAACGATTATGACTGCGAGAAAAAATTTAGGGTTCTGAAGTGAAACTTTCGAGCTTTTCCCTGACTTTTTAATAACTGCTCATACCCTGCACTATTGCATAAAAGTAACTCCGCAAAATTGTGTGGCTAAGCTTTACCTACACGAGCATGAAAAATATCTTGACTTCGTATATTTATTAAAGCGGTGAATCTGCTATCTGAAGTAGCAGGGATTGGAGTTCTGGCAACTTCAGCCACAATCCTCATCCAGCCTTCCACAGACTGACGCTTCAAAAACAAGTGGTTAGTTCAAAAAGCGAACGGAACCTCCTCGCCTAAGTAATGGTCTAGTTACACGATCAAAATGAGCCATCAAATTGAAACTCTGATTGGTGGAAAAAGACCTGAGGTGAGGATGCGACCAAGGAGAGGCCAAATTTGATGGCTCAATTTGATCGTGTAACTGGACTTTAATGAGCTCGAGCACTTGATATTACCGATTCAAGGTTGTATTTTTCTTGAAGGACACTGTTGTTGGCATGACTACAATTTCATTCATGGTTGGTGTAATTAATAACACCCCTAATTTAACGGTAATTTTTCCCTTCGCAAGCATAAACTGCCGAAAGAACTTATTTTCTTGTGACTAAAAGGTTCACATAATGTGTCCATTTTTCGATTCCCTGACATAATGTGTCCATTTTTCGATTCCCTGACTTTAAAATTTTCGAATTCCCTAACTCTTAAAAAAAATCCATTTACACTGTTTTCTTTTTGTTCACGAAGACATCTATTAAATGCCGCTCGCAAAATTTGATGACTTTTCTAATAAATTTCCTGTCTTTCCTAAATAGCTGTAAAGTCCCTGACTTTTCTAACTCGCTGCGAATTCTCTGACTTTCCCTCACTTCCAAGGTTTCCCAGAAGGTCGGAAACCCTAAGAACTCGATTATATTCAGTTTAGTCTCTGCAAAGAAAGTATCCGAAGGCGAAGATCTCGCGAGTGCCTCTCATAGTCACAAACTGGGAATACGCAGCATACAAATTGAGGTTAAACATCCGAACACAGAGAGATTATCTGCCCCAGTGAGCAAGAACCACGTAACTCGTGGTGGAAACCGTGCGTGCAGGCGCGGTTATTCCTCAGTCCGCGAGTATTCCTTGTTAGCATGTGCTTGGGATGCCCAACCTAGCTAACTTTATGCGGGTGCGCAGGGCGCAGAATAAGAAGCAGATTTGAATCAGGTTTATTGCTGCTGCCTTTTGTTCTGCGGCTGCGTTTTATTGTTCGGCCCGGAGCGAGGTGCGCGTGCTGTCGCTATCCAATAAATACGCTCACCGATAAAAGCCAGTGGCGTGGCGTGCTTTGCGATACATCGATTGATCGGCCATTTAAACCTATGGAAAAGTATCGATAAACAGTGTGTTCGCAGCGAACACCTTAATAATCGATAATTTACCACAGCTTCATATGGGGAAATATCGATAGATCGCAAAGCACACCACGCCACCGATAAAAGCAGCCGCGCAGATAACATCCCATTTTATTTTCAAGGTGTTACAGATTCCCTCCCCTTTCACTCGGGGTAAAATCGAAAGGAGCCCGGAGGCCACCGGGGGTACTCAAATGAGTTGTCTTTGATTTTATCACGGAGAAAATTCGTGCGTGGAACCCGAAGTTGAGGTCTTATGAAGCTCTGAAATTTTCGGATCCCGTATTCGAAAATTTGAGGCCTAGCTACCGAAGTTCGGGTCGAACATCTGAAGTACTTCGGTGTGTACCAAAGTACTTCAGTGATGTGTAACCAAACTCTCGATATGTATACTGACGTTAGACTGACAATGAACTTCGGCAGCTGGACGTCAAATTTTCGGATGCGCGATTCGAAAACTTCAGAGATTCATACAACCTCAACTTCGGGTCCCAAGCACAAAGTTTGTTTCTTCACATAGAGGCATTTAGTTGCGGGATCAAGAATGAGGGCGAAATTGTTTAAAAAAAGTTTAAGAAGTCTATCTAAATTTGTAGAGACGGATTGGGATTGTGCGGATGGACAACTGAGCCTTTTTTCCGAGGAAAAATGGAGAATTTTCGCGTAAAATTCGACAAAATTTAGTGAAAATAATAGGCATATTTTCGCGATAGTGCATTCGTGTGAAAATAAACTAACCGAGGGAATTTTTAAGCGTCATAAAATTCCCTGAACTTTCAAATTTCGAAAGATCACGTTCTGTATTTTAGGGGCATCTCCTGTAATAATTCCTGTTTTGAGCATCAATATTTAAAATAACCCAACGGATTATTCGATTAATGACGTTGCTCGACCGAGTTATAAACCGAGCACGCAGCATAAGCGTCAATTATAAAGTCCCCTAAATTTTCACAAAGTTGATAAAATTAACCGATTTTTCCAGGATTCTCCTTCTGAATGAGGTACTTACTAACTCGAGTATTTGATACGCCTTTATCTGCAAATATTCTTTGAGAAAGACAAGAGGATTTTCGATATTTTAGCTCTCGGCTTACACTGGAAAAAAAACACATTGGATCTAGAGTCCAGACTCTTGAAAACATTGACAAGAAAAAATACGCTTGATTCAATCAGATTTTTGCGTAAATTAAAAGGAAAGCCGCTCAAATTAAGAGGCTTGGTTCTTGATTTAGGAAAAAATCCGATTGAATTAAGAGTGTTTTTTCTTGTCGATGTCTTTAAGAGTCTGGACTCTAGATCTAATGTGTTTTTTTTTCCAGTGTAAGTTGGCCCTCTAATTACGTCACAAAATTCCACCAATGCGGCCCTAAAATGTACTTAAAACTTGAATTTCCTCAGAATACCAATTCGAGGCATTAGCCGAATTCCATCGATTGCCGATCGGTCTGTAACTTGAAAAAATCGGGCAGAGAGGCCAGCAACTCGATTGTTGAATCGAATTGTCATGATCGATTAAAAGCGTTGCTAAGATAGATATTTATCGATTAGGGGGTCATTCCACGCCTAGGTAGTCCGGGGGGTATTTTTTTTCCCCCCTCCAAATGACCCAACAATATTTAATTTTGGACTCCTTAATACTCCTAGTTTTTGGAAATATATGGGGTTTACATCCGTTTTGTTTTTTTTCTCGCAATTTTCACGTGTTTTGTAACCCCATTGGTTAGCTTCATCCTACTGTAAAAAAAGTGACAGTTTGGTAGCAATATTTTCTGGTGTTCCCACCAAAACCAAGTTTCAGTTTATGTTTGTAATTGTCAAGAAACTGATTCAATGTACTCCTGCAAAGTTTCAATTTTTAAAAGTAATTACTGTGTATTATATGTAACTTTTAAAACTTAGTGCACTGACTGTCACACCCGTTACGCAAAACATGGGTTTTTTAATGTAACTATTTTAATTGATGTTATTTTGATATGCTAATTTTTTCCGTACGTCTTCAAGTCAAGTACAGCTTTGGAGTATTTTTTCCAAATTTTTATTTCAACAATCTATAGGCAAAACTGCGTAACGGGTGTGACACACTACGGGTGTGACCAATGAGAAGAGGCTTCAATTATGCAGATGTTGCCTCACTTCTCACCATTTTTTCTATGGTTATCACAAGAAATACACTCATATGCACAATTAGAGGTATGTATACATCTAATAAGAGAGAGATAGCCAACTTTTTTGCCATATTTCAGTATTTAAAGTGAATACACCTATCTCAAAAGGACTTCAAATAGAACTCGTTGAACTCTCTCCGATTGGATTGAAATATTTTCACCTTACTATAGGCCTAGATCTACCGTACCAGGATTTTTTTTTTGTTAATTTGGATCATGCGAGGTCCAGGACCGCGGGGACGAAAGGGGAATCCCGGGCTACCCGAAGAAAAGCCCTCTGGGACGGTAGGTCTGGGCCACCCTGTAGAAAAATGTAGTTTTGGCATGTTCTACATTAAAATGCGTCAAATTGCTGATTGATTTACTGCTTAGGATTGCCTACAATAAGAGTATGAAAAGAAAAGTAAGTTTTTTGACTTTTAATTTCTCTCAGAAATGATGGACCTCAGAGAGACAATCTGTCACACCCGTTACGTCACACCCGTAACGCAAACGGTAGGTCTGGGCCACCTTGTAGAAAAATGTAGTTTTGGCATGTTCTACATTAAAATGCGTCAAATTGCTGATTGATTTACTGCTTAGGATTGCCTGCAATAAGAGTATGAGAAGAAAAGTAAGTTTTTTAACTTTTAAACTCTCTCAGAAATGATGGACCTCAGAAAGACAATCTGTCACACCCGTTACGTCACACCCGTTACGCAAACTCTCCCATTTTTCAAGGAAAGAAAAAAAAATAATCGAAAACGGATCATCGGCA